CATCCATTTAAAACATTAAATGATTTTTAGTACACTCAGGATTGGGCAACCATCACTTCTAGTTCAAGAACATTTTCATCACCCTAAGGAGAAATCCTGTTCCCATTAGCAGTCTTTCCCCAGCCCTCTGGCCCCCATGGGGCCCCTTTGTCCATGGACGAGCCTGTCCTGGATGTGTCACACATGTGGATTCACACACTGTGGGCCTTCTGTGTCCGGTTTCCTCCCCGAGCCTCCTGGGCTCAGTCTTCACAGGGTAATGTGTTGTACTCCTTTTATTTTTTTATTTATTTTATTTTTAAAAATATTTTTATTTATTTATTCATAGAGACACAGAGGCAGAGACACAGGCAGAGGGAGCAGCAGGCTCCATGCAGGGAACCCGATGTGGAACTCGATCCCGGGTCTCCAGGATCACACCCTGGGCTGCAGGCGGCGCTAAACTACTGTGCCATCGGGGCTGCCCTGTTGTACTCCTTTTAAAGACTGAATAGTATTCCATTATATGAATTAACCACCTTTTTAAATCCATCTGGTTGGTGGATTTAAAAAATTATTTTTAGATTTTAATTTATTCATGAGGCAGAGACCTAGGCAGAGGGAGAAGCATACTCCCTCAGGAAGCCCGATGCGGAACTTGATCCCAGGACCCTGGGATCACAGGCTGGCAGACGCTCAACCACTGAGCCACCCAGGTGTCCCCACCTGGTTGACTTGTATTTTTTATTTTTATTTTTTTAAAGATTTTTAAATTTTATTTATTCATGATAGACACACACACACAGAGAGAGAGAGAGAGAGAGAGAGGCAGAGACACAGGAGGAGGGAGAAGCAGGCTCCATGCTGGGGACTCGATCCTGGGACTCCAGGATCATGCCCTGGGCCAAAGGCAGGTGCTAAACCCCTGACCCACCCAGGGATCCCCGACTTTTTTTTTTAAGGTTTTATTTATTCATGAGAGACAGAGGCAGGGACAACAGGCAGAGGGAGAAACAGGCTCCATGCAGGAAGTCCGATATGGGACTTGATCATGGGTCCCCAGGATCACACTCTGGGCCGGAGGTGGCGCTAAACCGCTGAGCCACCCGGGCTGCCCAACCTGGTTGACTTTTTAATGTAAAGCTTCCTTCTCCTTTTCCTCTACTCCAGGTTATAAAATTGGTTCATGAGCCCCTGAGAACATTGGGAAACTGAGTGTGTGGCCAAAAAGTGAAAAGACCTGACGCCACCTGCCAGAGGGTTGACACCGTCAGGCTCTATTTATGCTGGTACCACGGTGCTCGGCCTCAACAGACCCCTCTAGTGTAGTTTTGACTCCCAGCCATTTTGCAGTTGAGACCCAGCGAGGTTAAGTGGCTTACCCAAGGACATGGCAAAGCCAGGGCACATATATGTGTGTATATAAATTTAAACACAAAGTGAGGACGGCGCTATATATACTGCGTTGTGCTGGTTTTCTATTCACTTCAGTTCATTTATCAAGTTACCACTTTGTCTGGCACCTCAGTAAACAAACATGTGAGCTGTGGTTTGGTGTGTGCATATTTGTGTTTTTGTGTTCAAAAATATGAAACCTAAGGGGATGCCTGGGTGGCTCAGTGGTTGAGTGTCTGCCTTTGGCTCAGGGCATGATCCTGGGGTCTGGGATAGAGTCCCACATCGGGCCCCTTGCAGGGAGCCTGCTTCTCTCTCTGCCTCTCTCTCTGTGTCTCTCATGAATAAATAAATAAAATATTTTAACAAAGCAAAAAACAAAAATGTGAAACCTATATGTATGTCTAGGGATAATGTACTTGAAATGAAATGTTAGAATTCCTCCTCCAGGGGCCCCTGGGGGCTCAGCCGGTTAAGCATACGACTCAATCTCAGCAGAGGTCTTGATCTCAGGGTCATGGGTTCAAGCCCTGAGTCAGGCTCCATGCCCAGCGGGAAACCTACTTAAAAATAAGTAAATAAAAGAATTCCTCCTCCAAATGGACTTCTAAAAATGAATTTTTTAAGCATGTAGGAGTTTACCTTTCCAACCACTTCTGTTTGTTTCAGACTGGCCTGTATGTGGGAGGAGAGTCTCAGCTCCACACCTTGGCCATTAAGGAAGGTGGAAATCATTAGGAACAAGCTAGCCCAGGGCGCCTGGGTGGCTCAGTCCCTGGAGCGAGTTTTGGTTTCGGTTCTGGTCGTGATCTCAGGGTCTCGAGATTAAGCCCCGTGTCAGACTCAGTGTGGAGCCTGCTTGAGAGATATCCCCCCCCTCTGCCTCTACCCCCTACCCGTTCCCTCTCCCCCACCAAATAAATAAATTAAATCTTAAAAAAAAATAAAATAAGTGAGCTGCCCTGGGCTGCTCGAGGCTAGTGCCAGAGGGCCTCCTGGCTTGTTCAGGGACAGATGCCAGCATGGATCTCAGCCTCAGCCTTTCACGAGAGTCACACCTGTTTGCAAAGACCTGAAGGAATCCCAGGTGACTTATCTCTAGGTGAGTTTGCCCACTTGAAAAATCTGCATCCTTCCTACTTTGCATATGAAACTTTTTTTTTTAAGATTTTATTTATTTATTCATGAGAGACACACACACACAGAGAGGCAGAGACAAAGAGGGAGAAGCAAGCTCCCTGCAGGGAGCCCGATGCAGGACTCGATCCCAGGACTCCAAGAAAACGACCTGGGCGGACCGCAGAAACTCAACTGCTGAGCCACCCAGGTATCCCTGCATATGTAACTTTTTAGTTAAATGGTAGCAATTGTATTTTTTTCCTAACATCGTATCATGCAAACTTTCCAACAGAAAAGTTGGAGAAACTATGGGTGAACCCTCAAATACACCCCCTGTCTGGATTCTAAAACTGTTAATGTTCAGATTTTTACGTAAGATTAGGTGGCACTAAAAAAAAAAAAAAAAAGTCTCCCTATACGAAATGAAGTTGACAACCTATTTAGGTGCTCTGATTTAAAAAATAAAATTTGTGAGTCTGTGACATCCAAACACCTGGAACTCACTATCTTACGGGACAGACCTGAGAGTAGAACAAAAGACGTGTGTGTGTGTGTGTGTGTGTGTGTGTGTTTGCGGGGGGGGGGTGTGCCTTCTGTTGCACCTGGGATACTGTGTTACCATGATCAAATGCCATTTGTCTTCCCCCCTGGTTAGGGAGTTCCTTGGGGGCAGTTGCTCTTTCCCATTTTTAGAGCCAAATTTTAACTACATGGGGAGTATATGAATATGGTCCCTCGAGAACAGACAATCTCCCCGAACTGATTCAAGTCCCCACAGACGACCCTTTTTCCCCGTGTGGATCTCTCTGCAAGGATTTCCTCTTCTCCCTTTCGGGGTTACCTTCTCTGTGGATTGACACGAATGCGTGCTCTTAGAGACCCCACCGCACTGGTCTCCGTGTGTTTTCTCCCTAACGTAGGTTACTGGACACCAAATTCTGGACCATTCTGCGGCTTGCCCACGGATGTGCATGTGCGTAAGGGATCATTCCAGGGCAGGGAGTGCATGGAGCACGACGTCTTGTTAAACTGCTACACAGTTGCCCCCCCGCCCTTTTAAAAAGATTTTATTTATTTATTCATGAGAAACACACAGAGAGAGAGAGAGGAGAGAGAGAGAGAGAGGCAGAGACACAGGCAGAGGGAGAAGCAGGCTCCATGCAGGGATCCCGATGTGGGACTCGATCCGCGACTCCAGGATCACACCCTGGGCCAAAGGCAGGCGCAGAACCGCTGAGCCGCCCAGGCGTCCCTAAACTGCGTCCCTGAACTGCTACACAGCTGAGAGTGCTACGGGAGTGCCCCGGGCTGCAAGTTACCTGGCCGGACCCTGTAGATGGGTGTGTAGAGCAGTTCCTTTGGTGCTGAAGACCCGAGCTCCGGGGCGTTGCTCGGGGTGTCTGACCTCCCGGGGTACAGTGCGGATAACACTTAACCAAGGCTCCTGGGAAACGCCCCGCTGCTGATTCGCACCTGTGACCCGCGAGCCCGGCGCACCCTACTGTTGCCTACGGCGCAGGTAGCAATGATGAAGACCGCGGTGAAGCCACCCGCCCAAACCCTTTGTGGGTCTCGTCCCACTCATTCTTGCAACGTCCCTCGGGACTGGCCGGCAGGGTCGAGTGTGCGTGTGGTCGTTACCATCATCTCCACTTCGCAGGGGAAACTGAGGCCCCGAAAGGTCCCAGTGAGGCGCGGGGCCCAGCCGAGCTTGGAACCTTGGTGCCAGGGACTGCCTCGTGTTAGGGAACTTGCGGGAGCGCCCCTAACTACCCGGTGGGCCTTGCGAATTTGCAAAGGTGGATTGTGAAGGGAGTAGATGTGGCTTTCTGGGGGGCGGGGGGCAGAGGAGGGGCGCTTGCTGCTTGACTTTTTATAGTCCCTCCATTTTGCAAAATGGGTTGCACCGGAGCCGTTCGCACGTCAGGACTTCACGAACCGGAGAACGCCGCGTCCAAGTTCCGGCCGCGGGTCTCGAACTCCTCCCTCGTGCCTCCCGGGCCTGGTGCTGATGTTGTGCTGGGTCTCACGTACTCAGTTGCAGCTTGATAACCGGGGCGGGGCCCCGGCCCTGATTGGCGTCCGCCCCAGCCAATCCGCGCCTCGGGCTCGCCCCGCCAGCCAATGCTCGCTTGCCCCGGTGCGGTCGTTGGGCGGTCCCCGAGGCGCCCTTGTCAATCCGGGGCCCAGCCGCCGTCCGGTTGGTGGCGGCTGCCTTGGCTGGCGTGCGCCGCTTCCAGTGAAAACGGAGCCGGTCAGCGGGCACGTGGGTGGGCGCCGGCGTGTCCCGGCAGGCCAGCCAATGGGAAGGCGAGGCCTGCGCTGGCGCCCGCCCAATCGGGGCGCGCGGGGGGCGGGCCGTGCGATGTTGATGGGCCCGGCGGAGGGGAGGGGCGGAGCTGTCAGCGGCAGCCAATGGGCGCGCGGGCGTGGGCTCGGGGGCCAATGGCAGCCAGGGCGGAGCTGGCGCGCGGCCTCATAAGCCCCGCCCGGGGCGCTCGCGGAGGGCTCGGCCGCCAGCGACCGAGCGGGGCCCGGCCCGAGCGGGGCCTGGGGGTGCGACGCCGAGGGCGGGGGAGCGCGCGCCGCTGCTCCGGACCGGGCCGCGCGCGCCGCCTCAGGTGAGCCCGCGGGGAGGCGGTCGCCGCGTCCGAGCTCGGGCCCCGCCGCCGCCTTCGCAGCCGCCGCCGCCGCCGCCGCCGCCCCCGCGCCGCGCCCCGGGCTGCGGGCGGGCGCCCGGGACGCGAGGCCCAGGCCTCGGGCGCGGCCTGCTCGGGCCGCGGCCGCCGCGCTTTGTCCCGGCCCGCGAGGCGGTTGGGGGCGTTAACCGCCCGGCCCGGGGGCGCCCGGCGGGCCTCGGGCGGGGGCGGCGCGGCCGGACAATGGCGGGGCCGGGGGCGGGAGGCGGGGGCGTCCGGCCCGGAGCCGGGGGCCGGGGGCCGGGGGCCGGGGGCCGGGGGCGCGCGCGGGGGCTGGGCCGGGGCGTCCCCGCCGGCCCTGCACAAAAGATGACAGCGTGGGTGGCCCGGCCCGGCCGGCCCTGCCCGCCCGGGCCCTTCTCTTTTATTATTCACAACAATCCTGATAATTAAAAAAAAAAAAAAAAAAAATGAAGAGCGAGGCAGGGACGGAGAGCGCTGGCGAGCGCGGGCGCGCGGGCGATCCCAGGCCCCGGCCGGCCCCCGCCGGCGTTTCCGCCCCTCGGGGCGCCCGGCGGGGTCACCGGGGCGCTGCCCCCGCCGCGGCCCCCGCCCCCGCCCCCGCCCCCCGCGCCCAGACGCGGGCCGCCGCGCCGCTGCGGCTTCCCAACTCGCTCCCCATCCCCGCGCCCCCCGAAAGGAGCGTGCAGTCCGCTGCGTGTGTGTTTTAATGATTAAAAAACGTACCCGCTTGGTATGCACCTCGAGCCTCCCGACGCGTCCCCTCCGTGCCTCCCGGTCCCAGCCCCCCTGGGCGGCTCAGCGACCCCCTTCTCTGTAGGAGGAGATTGCGGCGACCCCGGTGGGAGCGGCGGGGACACGGATTGGTTCCGAAAGGGACCTGCGTCTGCGCCCGGTGGGCGCGGTGACACCAGGTGGAGCGGGTGCGTGTCCACCTGGGCACCGGTGAAGGGTTTGCAGGAGCTCGGGCTCCCCCCCCCACCCCCGGGGGCGGGGGAAGCGTGGACTGCGCTTCCGTGTGTCCCATCTGTTGGGTTGGGGAGGAGGGGGGGAAGGATGCTTTTGTTTTAATAATTCAGGTGCACCCGGGCAACTGTTTCCCGAGTTATGAAACTAGTGAGAAGGTGGTTGTGCTCGGTGGGATCCGGTGATCCTACAACACGTCAAGAGTGTGGTGGTGCCCGTGTGTTGATGTCAGCTGCGAGTTGCTTTGGGTCCTGCTGGGTGCCGGCCCGGCCTTGGGTCTGAGGGCACTGGGATGCATTCAAGGCTCGGGTGCCCGGCCCCACCCCTCTGCCTCAGCAGCCACGTATGGGGAGAAGGCCCCCGAAACGGGCTCATTAGATGACTCTGTGGGCTTTTATCGCCGCCATCCGAGAGCTAATGACTCCCCTGATTCTCAAATAATAGCTTCCTTATGAGGCTTCGGGAGGGTCTGTCAACTTGCTGGCCAGCCGCCTCCCGCCACCCCTGCAGGAGCGGAGCACAAGCCTCTCCCGTCTTTGCAGTTTGTGTTTTTGGAACCCTGAAGGACAGAGTGTGAAAGTCGTGGAGTCAACTTGTGATTATCGGAGTCGAGGGTTTCTGAAACTCGCTGGCCCGCTTTCCGTGTTTCTGATTGGATGCCTGGCCCATCTCGGTGTTCCTCCGATGGTGCCAATTGTGCCGGGGCACCGCGCCGGTCAGACTGCCCTGCCCCCGGGGCGGGGGACGTCACTGCTGGGGCGCGGAGGGGGAGGCGGGGGTGTGGTGGCACAAACGCTCCCAGGTGTTGCAGCGCGCACGCGGGTCCTATGTCAGCCGCCGCGTGTGTGCGTGTGTGCACACTCCCGTGAGCGTGAAGGCGTGGAGACTGGGAATCCATACAGGTCTTGTAACAATTGATTTTTTTTTTTTTCCTCCCGTTTTTGGATCCTTTCCTCATTGTGGGCGGGCGGGCAAGGGGATGCTAAACGCTGGCGCTGAAAGGTATTGCTGATTGGTCATTAGGGACCCCGCCCGGCCTTTGTTGTACTTTCTTTCAGTCCCTGTGCCATCCTGCAGGAGCTTCTGGGGTGCTCGGCCCTCTCCCCCACCCTCCGCCCCCGCCCAGCCCCTTCCCCTCACTCTGGCCGTACTTGATTCCACATTTCGCCACCGCCTCTGCTGGTTTCTCACCCTTGCCCTCCTATGCCCCACCCCCTTCCCCTGGAGGGGCTGGGCCATCTGTGCCTGGGTCTTATCTGACACCTGTGAGAATGGGGACGGTGGAGCACTGGGGCAGGTTGCAGAGAATTCTAGCTTCAGGGGGCCCCAGTTCTGGTGGGGGAAGGGAGAGGTGGGTGTCCTGGGGTGTGAAGCCCACCACCCATGGGGCCGGGTTCGGGGACTGGGCAGGAGCAGAGGACGATGGGTGGGGATGGAGTGAGGTGCTGGCAACTGAGCCTCTGCGGGTGGCTTTCCTCCTGGGATGTGGCAGGGTGGTGTGGGTGTCAGAGCTGTGTGACCTTGGGCCGGTCGCTTGCTCGAGAACAAAGTTGAGGGGGGGATCACTAAACCTTCCCGGGTGGGGGGGCAGGGTGGAGAGTAAATGGGCTGCTTGCAGAGGGCATGAGTGTTGAGGGCCCCACAGACCTGCTCGGTCACCTCGGTGCCTCACCACAGCCTCGGCAGGCCAGGGTTCCTGGCTCTGCTCCAAAGACTTGCCCCGTGGCTGCCCCCTGGGGCCTCTTGCCCCAGCTCTTTCCTGCTCTGCCCTGGTGCCTGTGCTCCTGGCTGAGGATGCTGGGCAGCAGAGGACAGGGCCCAACCTGGACTCCATTCTGACCTGCTCTTGGTGACTGTGTCCCCAGGTTCCTGTCCTCCCCTCTATTCCCCATACAGGCTTCCAAGTCTGAGGGACCCGGGTTCAAATCCCTCCTCTGGAGCAGATCCCTTCCCTTCTCTGGGCCCCATGGTCCTCATCTGAAAAATGGGTGTCCTGAGAACCCATCCCAGGTCATTTTGGGGTTCAGAGGGGGTGAGAAGCACTGAATGCTTTGTGTGGCACCAGAAGCTCGGAGCTGGACTGGGTTGCTTAGTGGTGCGTGATATCTGTTTCTGTCGGGCTCACATTCAATCGGATTGTCCTCCGTGGGACGGTCCCGGGCACTGTGGGGGGGCTGAGCTGCATCCCTGGCCCCACCCACTTGATGCCAGGAGCACCCCCAGTGTGACCACCACAGATGCCCCCAGACGTTACCCAGGGTCCCCTGGGGGACACAGATGCCCCCCCAAAGGGGATCGTGTCACTTAACCTCGAACAGCAGCCTGCCTGCTATTTGGCTAGGACCTTGATCTGCCTCAAGTTCTGCTTCCCTTTGTCCCCTTCCTCCCCTCCGTCCACGAATGAGGAGGGGCTTGTGTCAGCCTGGCTGTGCAGGTCCCTCTCGGCTGTCACCCTGCCTCTCCCCTGGCCTTCCCAGCCTGCAGCTTCCACTCCTGAGAGGGGGGTACAGACTGGCTGGCAGGCATGGCGCAGGGGTCTTCCGGGGGATGTCCTCACCCGAGCCCACGCGGGTGCCCTGCCCAGGCTTCCACCTGTCACCACACCGCCTTCCCCCTGTCACCATACCCCTTCCTGTCACTTTGCTTAACAGATCTCTTTAAGTTGACTTGAAGGTGACTCACTGCTTTAATCCTGCCTCCTCCTGGACAGTTATGTCCATGAGGTCGTGGGGCTGTTAATATGCTGGCTGCCGATACTTTTATACAATGACATGCATTTAACTGTGATACTAAAAAAAAAAAAAAGTCCATGTCCCTTCAGTAGTAAGGCCTGAGTGGTTTGATGCATTGATTCTGTTGGGCAAGTTGGTTTTTGAGTTTACTCCCTACTTTGGCTTGGCCTGTTCGAGGAGCGTTCTCTTTGATTAGATGAGGTGTCACCACTAGCCCGTCGTTTTTCACTCCTGCTTCCTCAGGGAGCTTTTAGAAAGTTTAAAAAAATGGCCTACCTCTAGTCAGAACGTTCCAGTAGCTTCCTGTTATTCCTGGGAAAACTCGAGACCCCTTCCCGTGGTCTCTGTGGTCACTGTGGTCTGTCCTCTGTGGTCTGTCCTTTCTCCCTGCCCTCCCCTCCCCCCCATGCCTGCTCTCTCATTTGTAACCAGCTCCCTGCCCACTCTTCCCTGCCCTGCCTCAGGGCCTTTGCACTTGTTGTTCTCCTACTCTTCTAGCCAGCTGGCTCCTTGTCATTCACATCTCGGCTCCGAGGCCATCTCTGGCTACACTGCCTAAACGCACCCTTCCAACCACTCTCTCTCCCCGTCCTGCTTTTTCTTCTTTGCATTCAGCACTACTGCAAACCCACATACTAATCTGTTTATTTATTGCTTGTCTCATCCAGGAGAACAGAAGCTTTTTCTGGAAAGGGTCAGAGAGTAAATAGTTTTGGCTTTGCAGGCCAGTCCCAACTCCTCTCTGCCATTGTATCACAGCACTATAGACAGGAATGAGTGTGCTTATTTTCCAATAAAACTTTATTCGTGTACGCAGAATCCTGATTTCACATACTTTTCACCCGTGATGAACTGTTTCTTTTCCTTTGATTTTTTTTTTCCTCACCCAACCATTAAAAAAGGTCAGAACCGTTCTTAGCTTGGAGGCTGTACCCAAAGCAGGTGGCAGGCTGGATTTGAGCTGTGGGCCATAGTTTAGAAACACCTGCAGCAGGGTGCGCGGTCCATGCTACGGGAGCGCCGTCTCTCTTGGCTGCTGCGTGTCTCCCCAGCACCTAGGGCGGTTCCCTGCTCACGGTGGGTGTGCAGTAAATGCTCCTTTGTTGAATGAATGAATTTCCATGTTTTTTACATCAAAGCTTTTGGAGTCCTACTCTATATTCAAAAAAAAAAAAAAAAAGGTTGTAAGCTGTTTCAAGGGAAATAGAAGAAAATGTTATGACCCCATCCACCGAAACAACCCCACAATGAAGGAGGAAGAAA